GACGTGTGCTCTTCCGATCTTCATGTTTTATTTTATTTCATTTTTTATTTTATATATATTACTTAATATAAGAAATAATTAATATAAAAAATTTAAAAAAACACTGAAAATTATTGATATCAATCGGAAAGAAAGAAAGTTCTTCTTATTGTCAGAAATATTTCATATAAATAATCTTGATTTTGTATATATGACTGCTTTATCGGTTTTATCGGAGTTCTCATTTCAGCGGCGTATTTTTGTTCTAGATTATTCAAATGACATTGCCAGCTGTCGTATTGATGAAATTAATAGTGACACAAAGAGGCCAAACGAAAGGACGACGTCGCAGCAGCAATACGCGCGCGCGTTCGCTCGTTCCGTTCCAATTACTGAGAATCTTGAGATTCAATTATTAAGGACAGATCTTTGCCAAAAAAAAATGCTCTTGCTAGAATTAATGATGTGTGCAAGCGCTCCGGACTCAAATAACTTTTATATAATTGCCGGCTTCAGTAGCGTGGGAATTTCACGGGAGAAATCAAATTATTGTTGTAGCGATCCATCAATTTAACCATTTGTTCGTAATGGCCATATTAATTTGGTACGTTTCGGGAGGCCGCGTACGTAATTATCGATTTCTGAATTAGCTATGCAGCGAGGTATAATCGCCCAAGGGCGTTGAAATGACAGCGGCAGTATCGGAGTGAAGATGACAGAGACGTGACGCGACAACGACGAACGGCGGAAGGGCGAAAGAGGGTGCGCATGTAAGAACTGTAATTGATGGCGCGTCCTGTTTTGACAGGAGTACATTACACAGAGGATTTAGGTGCGGTCTCGTCCCGCGCTCCCGAATACCTCACTCTCCTTCTCAATCCTGCGAGCAGTTAACGAACAATCCCTGCGAATATATCTATATCCGCGCAGCGAAAATGAAGGGTGGAAGAAACTTTTAGAAGCAAACGTCGCAATTTGTCCGTGAAATAGATGTTGATAACAGAAAGTATTATCCACTGTCGCTGCAATTTTATTATGCTTGTCGTAAACGGCTGATAATAAAAATATGTATTTAATTATTAAGAGAGAATATAACATTTCTATACCTCTCTATCTCTTATTTTTCATTATTATAAATTTGAAACATACGTTTTACTATAATTAAGAAAAATATGTTTTTATTCTATTTCCTCTTTTATTATAAGCCGTTTTAATGAATGTTGTATAAAATATACAATATTTATGCAGCTGTTATTTCATATGTTTTTTAGAAATTCTATTTTTCTAGAATATATTCCGGTCGAGCTTTATCAAGCCGAATTAATGAGTAAATAACAGTAGTACGTTTAATTCTTGTTTAATTCTTGTTCTGTGAATCAAGTTCTTCTCTCTCTCTCTCTCTTTCTCTCTCTTGTCTCGATAAATTTTCAGTTATCACTTTTCTCCCAGCCATCAGGAATGACGGACAGAGATTAATGAAAGCGCTAAATGTCGAGAGAGATGAGACCGATAAGGATAACGGAAGAGTCGCGGATTTCCGCTCCGCAACTTCTGTTTTACCCCACAATCAATCTCTTCTTCTACATACTTACTGGTAAATCGGTCCACACTTTTTTTTGTAACGTTGATTAGCCCTCTGTTAGGAAAAGTGCTATCAATCTTAAAAAATTGTTTATAACGCTACAAATAAATCGTTGAATACTAGCTTTATATTAGCGTATTTCAAGTGAAGATATATGCGACGGGATATAAACCAAAACATATTTTATTTGCGCTCAGAATACTCGCGTCTTCAAAAATACGAATAATCTTAATTAAGAGAACGCTGCGGAGGTAGATCTATTTTACCAATTAAACGCGATTATTTTCAGATTCGTCAATCTCTTTATTCATTTCAGAATTATAAATTATTTCCATAATTAAAGTATAGATAATAACAAACAAAAGATTTTATATGAAGAACGAAAAAATTTTTGAAAATTAGTTTTGTTATCTTTATACGTATAAAACAAGCTACAGCTGCTGGGGTTTACATAAAAGAATAGTACTTTTATTAATGAGCCCAGATGCTTTAATGTAAGAGAAAACATTTTATAAAAATGCATATGTATACAAACGACATTGATGTAGTAAACTAGTAATAAACATTAACACAGCATTACTACATCAATATCGCATTACATGTGCATAAATTGTTAGTAAAACAGCGACATTATGAAGTTCGGGCGTCGCTCTAGCATCGCCTTAATTAGTATTTATTTTCTACCAATTAAATATTAAGTATGTATAATATATATTTATGAGTGATTATATAACAAAAATGTACTTCTTATATAATAAAAATGTATTAGTAGGGAATTTAATTAAAAACCAGAGTACAATTTGAGTAATTTAAATAACCTGCATTTTAATGCTCTAATTTTCTGCGCTGTTTGCGTTTTTTATGCATTCAGCAATATCGTTTTTTACATATTAAATACACAAAAAGCTTTTCATTAACGTATTTAAATTGTTAAAAATTATTTTATTCAAATGTGTACATCTTTTTTTTCTGTAAAAATAAGAATAACAAATTTAGCTATTACAATTATACATTGCAATAATAGTGACTACTTTTGTTGAGCAAAAAAATGATGACCATATTTTGTCAACTAAAGCTAAATTTATTTATCTATGAATAAATTTAATCTGCAATAATCTGTCCCAAAATATTTGAGAATTAAAACAGTCGACGAAATTCTCGAGCAATATAATGGAGTAATAAAACGCGTCGCGCGTTTATAATTCACTCGACAAGTCTCCGTCATCAACTTCAGATTCGCTTTTTATTTTATTACGCCATCGTCAAATATAACTCGACAAAATAAACCTCGTTAACAAAATAATCTGCATGGCATTTCTGATCGAAATTCAACAAACGACATTTTAAGTTTGATGAGTTGCGAAGGCAAAAAGTCATCGTACGTCGGCAATTGTCGCGATCTGGCAAACTGTCGCGCGAGAACTCAGTCGATTGCGGTCGGAAGAAAACACGTAAGCAGCAGTGTGTGCGCGCGTGTCTCTCTGATATGAAAATAAATCAAACTTATAAGAGTCTGCAGGACTTAAGAAAGCCGAGGTTCAGATGAGGTTGTTCGCGGACAATCGAGAAGATTTAGCGAGCGTAATAAAGCAGAGCCTGGCGCAAAGTCGTCACTTACTAATTGCGACATGCGAAATAAAATTCTTCAAGCTGTTCAAATCGTATTGTATCAGATTTTCTTTCCATACCGCTTTAGTTTTTCAATATATTAATTGTTTGACGTTTATTAATAATTATTAAAGAGCAAAATTTAATTTTTAATATTATCGTTATATGATCATCTTATACAATTAGACGAATTGTAAAGTTTCGTTACAGAGTTTAAAGATGGAAGAGAACTGAAAAATTAATTGAAATTTTGTAAAACAAGTGACCTGATTTGCGAGCAAGGAATCACAAATTCTACGAAGTCTGCATATTAAGATCAAAGTTAAAGTAGTAGCTACATCTAGTCGGAGATTGTTACTGCCGATTGCTGCAGGAAGTTAAGTTTGTTCCTTTGAATTATGTAATGTTATATCAAGAGTAACGTATAATACAAAAATATATATATTATTATAAATGTATAAGTATACATAAAAACATTATATAATGTACTACAATTTTCCATATTATTGTACAGAATCGAAGTTTTATTATATATAAAGATCTAATGCGAGTATATATAAAATAAATACACATAAAATTATATAATATACTACAATTTTACATATTGCATAGATCGAAGAATAAAAGTTTTATTATATGTATATGGAAATCTCTTATCTATATTTGCAGAAAGTAATTGTGAAACATAAAATTACTGTAAAAAGCATCATACTTAAAATAATTTATATTTAAAATGTAAAAGATACTATTAACTCATTTATAAAGCTTTTAATAAAATAATAATTAATCAGTATTTAAAATATTAAAATAGGATAAACCCGGTTTATACACCGCACCTATTAAAAACTCAATTTATCAGATATTATCTATTAAGTTTAAGTTAAATGAACCATGCCAGTAAAAACTTTATACTGTTTACTATTATAAAAAAATATTAGGAATTCAAATTATTTATTTTTTATATTAAAAAAGAAATTTCTTTATACCCTTACATTTTCGTCTTATAAAAATAGGGGTGGGTTATACGGCTACTCATGAGTGGGATAAATGACTCGAAAAATATACAAATAATCTAAATAATAATAGTGAATAACACATGAATTGACAACGTAATTTGCATTTACTTATTACTAAATAAATAAAGAACGTATTATTATAGATTATGAATAAGTACATACATAAATATATACATACATGAATGTTATGATTAATGTATTGTAAAGAACGTATTATCACGTATTATTATTTACTTTTATGTTTATAAATAAATAATAGAGCGTCTGTGCTACGGTATAAATCCCACGCGCTAAAAATTCCATATATCCCAAACAGATGGAATATACAAGATAATAAACTAAACAAAGAATACAAGAGCTAAGTACTTGTATCTTGCTATACTCTATCCTTTACTAATCTTCTACAATTATATATTACGTAATCACGAAGCCTTTTACATTTCCTAAAATAATCATTTTATGTAGATTATTATAACTTATGATTGCGCTACTTATTACAGTGATAAATCGATTTAACTTACAATAATTTTATAAATATTAACAGTAAAAAACTGAAATCACAACACAATACTAATATAACACAAAGACATGTAACAGTGGCTGCGAGAAAATTAGTTTCACTTCTTCTATTTTTTCTGACTTCTACAGCGTAAATCCTCGCGCGGCGGGTTTATTCTACTGTATGCACACATCACACTATAGCTGTAGGATCACTTTTTGTTCGCGATCGCTTCTGCCCGCTACCGTTACTTATTCTTTTGTGGCGATGACATAGCCACAATGCTCAGGTCAGACAGAATATTTTAGACATATTTATTTTGAACGCACACACTTACATTTACTTATAATCAATACGAATCAATATATAGTTATATGGAGTACACACATTTTATACAGGTTACACATGACATCCATGGATTGATTAGCACGAGAATAATATAAAATGTCAATATTCTTTCAATTTGTATACAAGTTTTTTAATTAAGATCGTAGGATACTTTCTCTCGCTTCTGTATTTGTCTCTACTGCATGTAACTGATATTTTTGTCGGTATATAAATAACGAGAATTAAGCGGTATACGAAGGACGTAATTAGTCATCGATTAACAATAGGCAGGTATTTCATACATAAAATCAGGGGCAACAGAGACAGATGCTCAAAGCCCAAAGCGATGGGGGAGACCCTGAACTGACAAAAAAGCTTCATAAGTTTGAAGTCTTGACACTAATACAAATTGCAACTTTTACACACTCGTCATGACTTTAGATTAATTGATTCATATCCGAATATCAGTGTTGCGAATATTTCTCACTTTTCCAGTTTCGCTACTTCATGTGAGAGAAGTTTTAGCAAGTTAAAATTAATTAAAAACTATTTAAGATCGTCTATGAATAAAGAAGCTATCCGTAATTTCGACAGAATATAATATTACTAAAGATATTAATTGCAATGATATAATTAATACA